TAAAATCAAAATACTATTGCTGTCTAGTGAATTCCTTCTTACAAGCAAGGGGAAGGAGAAAGACGCCTGTCTACACTGTGGAGACAGATGTTGTGCTTCTCCTTGCTCAACATGAGGGGAAGCTTCTACTGTGTCAGTTCCTCACCAGCGTAAGAAGCATACTAGTGCATAGAAATTGATCATTGCTGTGAAGAGACTAAGAAAAAACACATCAGAAAGGAGAGACTCCAGATGCAATCTTTACAGAGGCATTCAAATTAAAATCTGGTCTTTTTCCCTTTCTCCTTTCTTTCACACCAAAAATAGATTGGATTTAACTGAACAACTAAATGCTATCTTTGGAAGTTGAGATAAAATGGTTTGAAAGGTTTTGAAAAGATTGTGGCAGAATATGTATTTAAAAAAAAAAAAGACAGAAAATGGAATAAGCAGAGATGGCTTTCTAAATGACTGTAAGTAGTTGTTAGTAATTGGGTTTTAGGTGAAAATGAGGAAACTGACCATGTGGCCTCTAATGGAAGGAGAACATTCTCTTGCTACCCATATGTTTAGTAAACACGTGCAATAAAATAACCTAAGCAAAGTGAGTACTGCTTCAAGGTGGTAGCTTAACTGCTTGTAAACAGCCAGAATCATCATATTCTTATAGAATGAAATGCTGTTTATGCAGGTGCAAGGAAGCATTACTTTTATTTTTACATGTAATGCTTTTTGGTACCTATTTTGAAATTAAGAGTTCCAGAACTCAGCCATTAACAGGTGGCTTTGTTTTGTTACTCAGAGCAGAGCTAATACCCAAAGAAATACAGATATGGCACTTGGTTTAAAATCACATATTTGTCCTTAGGGTAGGAGGTAAAAGATAAGGAGCAGTATGAGTGTGTTCATATAAAAAAAAAAAATACAGATTTGATTATTATCAATCCTTTATTTCCCTATGCAAGCAGAGTCTGGAGGACCTCGTGGTTTTTTTTCTACTCAGTCTCTTTTGTTACAAAGATCTTCTCTGTAGTCCTCTATTTCCTTTCTTGATCGCTTCTTTGAATAAATTCCATGCAAAATTGTTGTATCTATACCTCATGGCTCCTATTTGCCCTCCAGAATAGATAAGCAAGTGATTTCTTTCCATTTTAGCCACCAGTGTAAATGTACTGGTATGTACTGGCGCTAAGGTTTGGATGTGTTATCTATTGTTTGCAGTTGAAGTGTTTAAGAAATTTCAGCTATCACATTTCTTTTTAGCAGCTGGAAGTCCCCTTTAGAAACTTTTAAAGTGTAAGATTTTCTAGATCTTGGACAGTCCACAGTTTCATTTTTACTTCAGCTGACAATGTGCGCTTGTAGCCCACAAGGCCAGCTGTATCCTGGGCTCCATCAAAAGAAGTATGGCTAGCAGGTTGAGGGAGGTGATTCTTCCCCTCTGCTCTGGTGAGACCCCGCCTGGAGTACTGCGTCCAGCTCTGGAGCCCTCAGCACAGGGAAGACGTGGACCTGTTGGAGCAGGTCCAGAGGAGGGCCACAAAAATGATCCGAGGGCTGGAGCACCTCTCCTATGAAGAAAGGCTGAGAGCGTTGGTGTTGTTCAGCCTGAAGAGAAGGCTCCGGGGAGACCTTACTGTGGCCTTTCATTACTTAAAGGGGCCTTATAAGAAAGATAGGGACAAACTTTTTGGTAGGCTCTGCAGCAATAGGACAAGGAGTAATGGTTTTAAAGTAAAAGAGGGTAGATTCAGACTAGATATAAGGAAGACATTTTCTACAGTGAGGGTGGTGAAACACTGGCACAGGTTGCCCAGAGAGGTGGTAGACCCCCCCAGCCCTGGAAACATTCAAGGTCAGGTTGGATGGGGCTCTGAGCAGCCTGATCTAGTTGAAGCTGTCCCTGATCGCTGCAGGGGGGTTGGACTAGATGACCTTTAAACGTCCCTTCCAACCCAAACTATTGTATGATACTATGAAAATAGGAATTTGGTATGTTGTTGTTTTTAACAAGCTGTACTTCAATTAGATTATATTGTAATATATCTTTATCAAAATATATTTTATTTATGTGTGTCTGGTTTAAAGACTGTATAGAGAATAATGACCAATGAAACTGAAATCAAGACTGTAGTGGTCAGTCTGTAGTTTTCTAAGACCAGAATTTGTTTAATGCAAGCTCTGGAAAGCAACCTGTACTGACTTCCAAGCTCCTATGAGCAAGGAATAGTGATGTATTTAGAATGCTCTTCAATTCAAATACTAATTTAATTAGAAAATCATTGTAACACCACTGCCTGTCCTTTTGCTGGGTTTTTTTTTCCCAAAAAATAAGAAGTAGTATACATTTCCTTTCTATGCTGCTTCTGTAGTTCAAACAACTTCATATTATCAACTCGGTTCTCTATCCAAAGCTGTTGTGGCACTGTATTTCCCTCAGCAGGTATTTAAAGACTTTATTCCAATGTAGCTGAAGAACTTAATCTGTGAAGAGTGTTGGTGGAAAATTGTTTCACAACTTTTACAGGCTTTCGTCAGTAACACAACAGAGTGAACAGCAGCACCCAGGAAGAAAACTATGTCGTTTTGAATTATGGTTATTTCTTTATTAATCTTAATTTTGAATTTCAATTACATAGTTATCAAGATTTGTATGCATGCTCTATTAATAACATGACATCTGCTCTCTAACAGTTGTGCTGAGAATAAAGAATTATTTGGCATGATGGCCTTTCAAATGGTAGTGTGAATTTGTCTCTTGGTCTAAGTTTTGGTGAAGGAAGCCTGAGAACTGCACTTTCAGTTAACTTGCCAACTTCTTTGTCTTTTTGCAGTTGTGTACTTTTTAGAGGAATCTGGTTGCTCAGGTTATTAATTAATGTAATACCAAACCATTTTTTGCTAAAAATTTTCTCTAAAAAGATAAGATTTTTTTTTTTTCTTCAATTTCAGGCACCCATTTTATGACAAATGTTTGTAGAATTCTCCTGTATTTTTTCAAGGGTTTAGTAAATTGGAAGAAACAGAGTTTCCCCTCTACTGTAGGAATGTCAAAGTTAGGTTTCTGGCTGTAGGACTAGGAGAGAGTGGTGAAATGTGAATTGATTTTTAGTGTGAATGAGTAAACAAATGAACTTTCTGTCATTAACAGTAAAGCCTTGCCAGAGTCTAAAGGCTAGATGTGTATGTCTGCTGATCTATAGACAGAGCTAAACCCAGACTTATCAGCTGTTTGGGTCCTTACTGTTTTTGCGCTGCATACATGTCTGTGTGAAAGTTTATATGGGACAGAGCTATGATTACAGACAATTACAGAGTAGGGCTGCAAGTGAGAAGGGACTTCCTGCTGCATGGGAATTCCCTTGCTTTTCTTGTGTGCTGTCATCAGGTAGGAAGAAGAGCAGCTTTATGCTGCCCTGAAAAAGGATTACATTGTGGCAGTCACGAGTGCTGACACAGACTTGGAATCACTTCATCTGAGTATGCAAAATATAGAAAGCAAGTCTTAATGATAGTCATTTGAAGTTAAGACAAACTATTGTAAGTAATAAAACTATAATGTGTTTGCCTTCTTTCTTGTCATTATTTGAGAGATATTTTTGTACCTGTAGTTTAACCACAATTTAAAGTTAAGGTCTGAGTTAAATACCCCTTTCTTTTTCCTGAAGCACAGTGAAAGAGTTATTTGCAATTGTCATGGATTTTATAGGTTTCTAATGTTTTACATAAATCTATGCTGTGATAGTGGCAAAGCAGAAAAAAACCTATCCTTAACCACAGGCAAAATCCCATTGAATTTTACATTTTTAAAAAGCTATAAAATTAAATGTTTTGGATGTTATGAGTTCTGAATTTTTTGCTGCTGGTGTTTCTTGTAAGTTTTTAATTAACATTAGATAGCTGGAATTTTTTGGTGGAAAACCTGTCTTCAGTGGTGTAATATTTCAAGAATTTAAGAGAAAATTTTCATCAACTCATTACTCGTGAAACATGAAAAATTGAGCTTGTGTTTTCCTCAACTATTAGCTGATGTCAAAAACTATTGCCTCATGTAATCAATTAACTGATTAATTTTGAGGTAGCATTTAGAGTCTGAAAGACGATGTGTTTCTTTTGGTTGAGGCCCGTTAGAAAGTGGAGAAAATATATAGTTGTATCTGCCAATAACCAGGTTTCACACACAGTGCAGGAGATGTAACAGCTTTCTGCCACCGAAAAGGGGGAGGTCTCACTACTGTTTGTCCTGCCCATTCCTTTTGCTGGGTCTGGTGTTCATGAGTCTTGTACAAGCCAATTCAATTCACATAACAGCAGAAAACTCAGAAAACTACTTTTTTTTGTTGTTAACTTTCTGCTACAGTAGTTGGTTATATTGGCTTACAGCAGATTCTGAGTGCTGGAGCTGTGGCCAAGGAAGGTGTTAGGAGAATAAGGGCTTTTGAATGGAAAGGTAGGGAAGTCCTTTTTGGTGATGGTGAAAGTTTAAGATAGTTCTCGAGGAACTGTAACCTTAAATTTCTTTCTTACATTTTGTCCAATAATCAATTTGATTTTCTGATTGCTGCTTGAAGTAATTCAACTTCTAAGTGATGTTTGCTTTTTGAAATGATTCCAAATGATAGCAGATCCTTTAAATATGACATGAACAGTAGTGGTTTAGTATCTTTGTTTTGATTCTTTCTTTTTTGTTCTAATGTCTTTCTGTGGACAAAGGTCCTGTTTAAATACTATGCATAGGCAAACTCCTGTTAAAGTCCGCAAGATGTGAATTTTTAGATCTAGTGACAGTAATATTTCTGAACTCAGTTCTTTTATCAATAGGTAATTCTTTTGACTAGTAATGATATTTGTAAAGACTTAGATATATATCCTTTCTGAAATTTCATTGAGAACTCTGATTTCCTTACTATTTATGTATTGTGATGTTAGAATCTTAATGTGGTTTTGTGAAGAGATTGAGTACTCAAACCATTACAGAAAAAATGTGGTTTTAACTTCTAGTATTTTCAATTTGCTTGTAGGCAGAAGCCAGGCTTGCAGCCAAACGGGCAGCTCGAGCAGAAGCAAGAGATATACGTATGAGAGAGCTGGAGCGACAGCAAAAAGAGGTAGTCTAAGTCATCAGGAATTATTGTAAAACTTTACTAAAATTCTTAATGTATTTTATTTCTGTACTTGCATCAGATTTTGTCTTTCAGTGTAATTCAGCTGTGTGCTAGTATTTTCAGCATCAGGCAACTGTTAGCTTCTCTCTCTCCTCCCATACTCTCCTCTTTCCCCTTAGTTTGTATATCTAAAAGGATAACTTGCTTTGTATTTACAGGTAGATAGCACCTCACAAAATATTAATCTGAACATTCATTTTTCACTTCCTTAATAGTTACACTCATATTGTGGAAAAAATCTGCTATACAAAATAGGCTATTAGCACTCTTGCTTTCAAATGAAATTTACAGGCAAAATCAGATGCTTGGATGTTTTACCTTTAATAAATGCAGTAAATTCAATGCTAGCAATCAAAATGGGACAAAGATTAATCTTTGAGAATAATCAGAGATCAATGTTTATCTTTAGATATTTAAAGAGGCTTTCTTATTACTGCTTATTTGATTTTAAATGAGCAGAATAGAGAATATAATGACGATGTCCAGAACTCAGGCTTGCATAAATAATTTTGCACAGAGAGGAAGTTTTCAACTTCTAATGTGAAGTTTAATATTGTCTGGATTTGAATTACTAGATTTGTGGCTGAGTCAGCTGGTGAGTTTTGTGCTTTTATAAGAACAATTACTTAACACACGTGGCAGTTTCTTTGCTTGTTGTTGCTGTGCAAAATGTCCATGTAAATGTGGATAACTGGCAGCACAACATAAATAATAAACATGACTATACCCAAAATGAGCACTGCCTAATGTATAGGATAAACAACTGTGAAAAAGTAGAGAGAATTATTTTGCTCTGGTTTTAATGTATTTATACTTAGTAACTGGATAATTTGGATATGTGACTTTGGATATGCAGTTTTCAGTCAATTTCTTCCTGTATAGATTATACCGAAGTGTTCACAATACATATCTATTGTCAGGATCTTGATTTAAAAAAAAAATAATAGAATTGGGAGAATATTTACACATATGGTTTTGTGTTGCTCCACATATTTCTCCTAAAAAAATAAAAAAGTTTGCATTTCTTGAGCAAAAAAACCTAGGAACTAGATTTTCAGCAGTCTGATTATTTCATGGTTATTGCATTTCATTCATGTTTTGACATAGCATGCAAAAGGTTGAGAATTTATTATTAATCATGATTACGTTCAAATCCATGTAAATGCTGATATCTGGGCAGGGTTTGCAGTGGTAATAACAAATACAATTTACGAAACATGTTTTTGTCTCAATTTTATATGGTTCTCATTGTTCCATACTTTCAGTTTTCTAACTGCTGTAGGTATCTGATATTATACTGAAGATTACATGGCAATTAACTTAGTTTTCTTCCAAATTTTTTATTTAGGAATCCAGTCATGTGTGGTGACTAATCTATATTGTAAATGGTTTGTTTGTTTTTGTTTTCACATTCTGTAGTTTTCTCAGCATTCATATGATAGAAAATGGGCTCATATCCAGAAATGGATGGTAGGCTAAAACCACCTGTTGTGCATGTTTTTGCCACTCAGAGAACTAACAGAGTATTTGGAGGAAGTAATTTACTAATGGTTTGCTGTGTGTCATTTCAAAGTGTTTTATTACAGAAAACAATTACACATAAAGTACATTTGGATGTGGATATGCAGGGCACTTTATGGCAGCAAAAGACAAACTATGAAGTGAGATACTTTTCTTAAAATGAAATGTTTTTTGTTTCCACCATGTGTTGGCTTAAAGTCATTAATCTATTTTAAATGAAATTACATTAATTTCAATCTACATAAACATCTTTTCAATAGTAAATGTTTTTATTTCAGTTAATTTCTGGGGTTTGGGTTTTTTACTTCTTTTTCTTTGCAGACTTGCATTTATTTGTTTCCTCTTTGAATAATGTGGCAAACGCTAGTCTTTTCACTGATGATTAAGTCACTTCTATGACTTAGAAAAACTAGTTGTAAAAGACACTAAAAAAAAAACCCAAAAAGAAAACCACAGAAAAAACCCCAAACCCCAGAAAACCACCCCATGTATCACTTGCATCTTTTTACCCCTTGCCCCTTGCTTTCAATTAATAATGATAAAATATTTGACTGTTCATTTATTTAGATTAAATTCGCCAAGTAGGAAGGAGTAGAGATAGTTGAGTTATAATCTGAGGAAGCTGCTGTTCAATTTATACTAATTCAGCGTGATGTTTCTTTAGAGAGTTCCTTTCACAAAATTCATGTGCCTCTTAATAAGTCACATGGGAGATGCGAGTTTCTTTTTATGTTTAAGGTAGTGTTCACTGTGTGAATGTTTTGAATCAAGAAGATCTAAGCAGTACATGCTGAGACTAACCATAATTTCAAATAGTTAAAACTACCATGACAGTTAATCAGCACTTCTGTTGAGAAATCCTAGAACTGTCATTAGAATTTTATTTGCAAAAGTTGTACTGACTTCATCTTGTCTCTTTGCCTAGCTGACATTTGTGTGTATATTAGTTCTCACGTCACTTAGAAACAACATAGGTTTCTGTTATCTCTTGGTCGAATGCACATTTGAAATTTTTTTTTTTTTTTTTTTTCTGGAGAGCAAGGGTTTCCAAACTGTTGAACACAGATTGCATTTGTGAGCAATCTCACTTTGAAATTAACGCCACTCAATTGAATGCCACCTTCTTTTTGCACTAAGAGTCAGATCTGCTGCAGGAGGTTTCTGAGTAGATGTGCACTCCTTTCCTGGATCGGGAGACCTACCCTCTGTCTTAGATTAAGTGCATATTTCAAACTTAAATTCTTAGAAATCAAGCTTGGTAGCTACCAGCAGCAGTTACCTCTTCGTAGTAGGTACTGTAGTACTTTATCCTTTGACCTGAATATGATGAACACTTAATGCTGGCTTTCTATTTTCTGATTGTGTATCAGGAAGAGACTTGTTACCCTAAGTAAATTACCTACAGAAATGTACAGAAAATTGTATCAGAAGCTGAAGTTTTGCATTACCGGAGCATATTATTAGCTAGGGTGTTATACTGGCAATTAAAAGCAATTTTACATAAATAGCAAACTGTCTGCTTGCAAGCTGCAAATCTTATTAACAGATATTTGTCTGTTTAGACCACAGGCACAAAGTATATTCAAAATTGGCAGTGATCTGACTATAATGTGTTGAAAAGTTATATAGCATAAATGTTAATTTTAAACCTCAGAGTAGACATTATAGAGAGGAAGACTAAAATTTCATTATGGATTGAACCTCTTTTTTTCCCCCTCTTTGGAAAGTTACTTTCCTGCAGAGTATTAACTAGGTATCTTGAATACAAAATAATACTAAACAAATTAACGTATCCAGTGATAATGCAGAGAATAACCATGTGACCATAAGCATTATGAAAGCTAGCTTTAGATTTTAGTTATCCATCTGTGATCTGGAGGCTGAGCTTTTAACTCTAAAGATAACTGGCTTACAATCTTTAGAATAGTTTGACATTGAAAACTGTAGAAAGTGAGTCATTTAAGGAAGGATTCCTAGTTTTAGAGCCCTGTTGTAGCTTTCAAATGGGATAGTTTAAAATTAAGCTTATTCTTACCTTTAACTAAAAATTTGCGAAACTTACGGCATGTAAAGCATTTGAATGTTTAATTTTAAATTAGTTGTATTTTTGTCCTGCTGCTTCTCACATATTCCTTTGTGTGAGACAAAATGAACATTCCCTGGTCTTTCAACAGAACAAAAGATATTAAGGTGCCTTAGCTAGTTGTCCTCCCCCAGATTTTATAAGTTGGATTTATTATTTTCACTGTCATTGTAAAGGAAACTACCTATAGAAGTTATAATTGATCAATCTGCGTAAGAAGCTTTGTTCCTGTAGTAGAGGAGAAAATCTGAAATATGTATGAGGAAACTGAGAATGATCATCTCTATTAGGGCTAAAATAACTTTGTTAAATATTCACAACCTGACTAGTAATTATATAGTAAATTTCTTACTAATGTAATTTTGTAAAACTTTTAATTTTTTAAATTTTACTTCAATTTCTTAATTTAAAAAATCTTGTACTTTTTTCTGCATAATGGTAATCAGAAGAAATATTGACTACTGAACACTAATTATTAATTATATTAACCTCCCTTATTTACATCTCCTAATGTAGTGTGTTGGCATATTTACCCAAATCAGGTGAAATCACAGTTCTTGCCTGAATGAGTTCACTTGCCACAACAGATTATTCAAAACAGTACATAGCATTAAAAGTGCTAACAGCATGTTGCTCACCTTTGCTTGCTTTTATTTTGTCGTCATCTTTTTTTAATTTTTTTTTTTCCTATGAAATAACTCTGCATTTCTTCTTTCTCAGGAAGATTCAGAGAGGGCCAGGTATTCTCACCGGTCCAGTCGACATTCATATTTGGTTTGTGTTCAAACTGTATACTTTTCCATCATGGCCTTTTTAAAAAAAAAAAGTTTGGGTTTTGTTTCATTTTCTTAGGGAGTGGATGATGCTTTAAGTCTTCCAAGTATTAGCAGTTTTAGAGTCAGTATTGTAAGTCACATATAATGTTAAAGATCATCTGGTATTTTATTTCCATCAGTGTCAACAAAGTAGTTTATTTTTATGTATTTCAATCTTTGCATTTAAAAAGAATCTCAACTGTTACATTTTAATTCTCTGACTATGTTTTACTATAAATACCTCATGCTTTATTTCCTCTTCTACATCTATTTATTTACAGTATATTTTCATTGCTGAAAATAATTGAGTATGCGTTTGGAAACTGTTTGGAAACATATGTAGTTCAACAGTCAATTATTTATATATTGAAACATATTCAATGACAAGTTTTAAATGTCATCTTTTAGTGTTATTCCAGTCTAATATAATTTATTTCTTTTTTAAAAAGCTGAGTAATGTACTCACTTAGGCTTCACATATTGCCAACTAGTAAGAATTAATTGGCTTGTCTTGAACTGGTAGAGAACCGGTAGAGTATTAAGATGCCTACATAAGTTGTCAGTTGTCTCATGATTACTACTACACATAAATCTCATGGTCAGATGTGAAGGTGCTATTAATGATCAAACACTGGTCTAGTTTAGGTAAGTCTAATGGGAAAAAAAAAATCTTCCATTTTCCCTGTCTGTCTCAGAAATTCTGCAAACAGGCAAATTTGTATTAAATAAAGTAAATACTACTGCTGACTCAGAGTCATCCTGGATCAATGCCACTTACTGAAGATGAGTAATACTGATTTGTAACTTGGGCTTTCATTCCAAACTGATGCTGATAGTTGTCTGCTCACTGTTGTGTCTTTTCTTGCACTTTAAGTACTATTGTGTTTCTATAATATTTGTGGAAGAAAAAGTAGTAGTACCTTAGGATACAATCTGAAGAAGGGTTTGGTACAATGCAGGGTTTTATTTCTTTGAGAATGTGGGGATGTATTATTTGTTAGTGGCAAAGACTTACCTGAATGATGCATGGTGTCCCAGTGACTGCTAATAGAAGTATTTATTGTATTGTATAGGCTCTCCTATATCCTCTTTATGTCATATACAGTGCTAAAGAATGGTTTTATTGAGGGTTTGTGAACATTTTCCTGTTTTTAGTAGGTCTGCCTAAAAATCAGCTTGTCATTGATGTGGACATATAGGCCAGGAGAGGGACAAATTACTAAAATAAAAGGGTTGGTTTTGTTTAATTTGGAAGGTGGAATAAGCTGTTTCTTTGACTTTAAAAAAAAAAAAGAAATGATTGTCACTTACTAAGAGGTTTCAGCAATTAAATGTAATATTTGATTAACTGAATTTTTTTGTGACGTCTTGCAAGCCCTGGTGTTAAGTAAGTGTTACTGCAATTTATCACACAGATATTTTTACCAAATAAATTGTTTAAATCAGGTAGCGTTGACTACTTTGCAAACAGTAAATGGTCTACAGAAAAAGCATGTAAAATATGCTATGTGGCAACACTTGAAAACTTGTGAGCTGGTACAGGTTTGCTCAGATCTGCTCTTGCCTTGGTTAACACACAAAATATGCTAAGATGTAGATTAAGTAATCTACCCTTGACTAAAGAATAGGGCATGAACTCAGCAGATAACTGAGCTCATTTTTGGGAGCCTTACCCAGAATTTCTTTGACTGCCTCAGTTATTTTGTGCCTTTCAGTGAAGATTAACAGTTATCATTAAAGCTTTCTAAAATTATTTTTTGTATTGATATATTTTTACAATTTTGTTCTTAAGAGTTCTTTGGATGTCAGTGGGTCTCACAGGAGCAGAGCAAGTACCTCCAGAAGGAGAGATCTTGTGGTGTGTAGCCTGGCATGAGCATGCTTTGATGTGTTCACATTATAATGTTTTCTGTGTCTACTTACCAAAGGAGTTGTTTGGTGAAAGCATGCTTCTTTATAGAAAACAGGATTAATTGGACTGCTGCAATGGCTGATGTAATCGAACACTTTCGTGAAAGCAAGTTTGAGGGCTCAGAGAAAGTGTTAAGTGCTCTGTCTTGAAGATAACTTCAAGTTTGAAGGGAATTAGTCTCTCCAGTCTCTGTCTTCTAATGTCTCTAAAAGAGAAATAAAATAAAGTGGCAAAGGTTGTGCATCGGTTGTGATAGGTACAAAGATGTTGCTAAAAGTTATGGCAGGAAAACTTTTTTTTTCCTCTCAATTCTGTTGGGATGTTGGGCCTACAGTCAAGGCTGGAATACAAACAGAAATTTTACTTTTTCAGAAATGGGTATTTCTGTATATTTTGCGGTATTTTTAGTTTAGGCACCTTAAATATCTGTTCCTAGACTGTTAAGCTGTTAATAGTTAAGTAAAGGTATATGTTAAGTGTTGTGATGATAATGATTATCTGAGTGATCTGTCTCCATTCTCTGATAGTAAGGTTGCTTATCGGTAGGTAATAATTAAAGATGAAAACTTTAAAAAACGAAATGGTTAAGTTGGTTAAAACTGGTACAGTGTCCTATGGCTCCTGTATGGTAATACTTTTAGCAACACAAAAAGGTACCATAGTCTGTAAATTACATTAATAATATTAAATTATTACTTAATGAATATTGGATATATTGGAACTACTGAGGTAATATGAAAACAATATGAAATAATATGAACTAAATCTGGCCTATATTAGTTTATAAACAAATATAAAATCTAAACCCAGGGAATTTTTTGTGTTAATTTCATCTCTAGAAGGAATTTTCAGACATATCGATAGACAAGAAGAGATTATTTTTCTTGTAATCCTCTCAGTTGTTCTCATGTTGAAAATTACACTGGGTAATACTCTCGCATGCTATTAGTATATCATGTAATGTTCTCAAACTACCTTCAATTTCTGTTCTGTTTTCTTTTTTAAGAAAGCTTAGGATGATACTAAGTAACATTTTGGATTGTGCATTACCTACAGTCAGAATAGCTAAGTTATACCTGTGAAATTTTAAATGAACTGGAAAAAACCAGCTTGCTTTGAAAATTTAAGATTGGTATGTTTAAAAAAAAAAAAAAGTATAAACTCCACAAATGTTGCTGCTGTTGAGTAACAAGAAACACGGGGACACTGGGTAAGCTATTATTACAAAGCCGTTTTCATAAGTATTGTTAAGAGTTGACAAATCTGGTAGATCAGCGGTGTCCTTTCATCCCACTGTTCCTCCTTTTTCACATACTTGCTCTTTCTGAAAACACCTTTATCCCTTCCTTTCTCCACCTTTGATTCCTCCCCTGGTCCCAAGATGCTGTTCCCTGGCATCCCGTAATGTCTTCTATGCCCTGTAGGCAGTAACCTCTCTCAGTCTGTAAGGTGCCCTGGAGAACCCCCAAATCCTGATGGGTTTTACACCTCGACAGTGGGGCTGACTGGTGGTCCTCTGGGCTCCTTTGCCTGTGTGGAGATGAGCCTTTTATCACATAACCTAACAAATACTGTCTCAGTTTAATACAATCTACTGTATGAGATTATTTAATTATTATTTAATTATTTAAAATTCTGTTACCAAAACCACATGAAATATTTCATATAACCTACTGCTGTCCAAAATTATCTCACTTTTCACAAACTGGGATGCTGTTGGGGGAAAAAAATTAGTTTTTTATTAAAAGGTGTTCCAGCTCAGAATGCCCTTTAGATTGGATAAATGGCATTCCTTCCTGTATAAATTTTCATATTTAGAAGAATACGTTTTTTTGTAATTTCCTTTTAAGTCTGTTTAGTAATTCTTAAAAAAAAAACAAACTAATTTTTATATTTTTTTAACTTCATTATTTTAATTTCATTTTCTTTTACTTCAGTATGACAGTGCTAAGGATAGATCTACAAGATACTCAGTCCCTGTATGTTAACACTTTGCATGTCTTTGAGTGAAGACTGCTTTTGTGCTTTGTTTTTAAGGTGTAATGACACTAACGTGCTACTTTAAATTACTGTTTTAAAAAAATACATAAATTTTGTACTGTCACACTTTCAGACCTAGAATAGCAGTATGATTCTAACACTTGCCATAGAATGCATGTGCAAACTTTCTCTGGGAGAAAATCTAATGAAGTCACATATTACAGACATATTACAGTAAGCACTTTTTAGTATTTATCTGTTATTTCTAAACTTTGTAGTGAAGTGACATATACAGATTAGACTTGGAAGACATACTTTTTTTTTAAAAAAAAAAGTGTGTATGTATATATTCATATTCTTCATTTCCATATAGAAACTTTAACTTAATCTACTGGAAAATTATTTCAGTCCTGAGAAAAAGCAGGTGGTTTGTATACCTTTACTTCAAAAAATTCCGTCTTACTGTTATGAAGCAATAGTAGAGTACATCACATTCTCATTGGTATTATACCAAGTAATATTTGCATGTGTCTCCTTAAGCAAAGAAAACGGACCAAGTACCACTAAAAGGAATATGCAAGCAACTTAAAAAGCTGAATTTGTTTAAACAGCAGTGTTATCTGAATTAGCTACAGATGTTAAGCTTTTTTAGTTTATCGGGTTTTCATTTTTTGTGAAGTGTGAACACTTGCTTAAGCCAAGTCTGTGTTAATGAGAGATAAGGTTGGTCATAGTTTCACCTGTTAGTTCTTTTTCACACAGCCATAGAAGTATGGCCTATTATTCTTATCATGTAGTTAGAATTTTCTGTGGTGTTTCCGTTGTGATAAATACCTTAAATCCTTATGTTTAACTTCTTTATATTTTAAGATTGAAGATGTTGTTATATAGTGGTATTAATTTTCTAAATTTTATTCTTAGAGTCATGCTTACAGTGAATCTCATAGTTCAAAGAAGAAAGCTGCTTATTCCCATAAAGATTTATTGGTTAGTTTTCAACTATCATATTTATTATAAATATACTAGCTGTGTAGAGTTACATACTAATACAGTTATGGATAAATTTATTAGCTTGCTGACGCACGCATAAATGTTTTCTGGAAAAAATAAACCTCTAGTATTGACCAAAATCTGTCCTGAAGTTGAGTGTTTGAAACTGTGCTCATGGCAGTGGAATCCAATGAATGGAATCAGCTGAATAGAAATCATGTTCTGTTGGAGGCCCTTGGAAGGCTCTTGGAAAAAGTGGCACTTCTCTGCATTAAAGTTTAATTAAAGTTTATTCAGTCAGGATGGAGATACGTGTTCTATTATTTACACTTTGTCCCCTATCAGATATATTTTAAATGTAGATGTGAAGCAGATTGAATTTACCATAAACCTTGATACTAACCCAGTGAACTGTTGAGAAGGGCATGTGAATTATTGTGAGCTTCCAAAAACTGTTCTAGAAAGTTCAGCGAGTAACATACATGAATATAGTGCCAAGAAATTAAATATTATTGTAATTTTTCAGAGGGTTTTGGCACTGATGAAATAGCAAATGCATCAAGGGTTGGGGGAGTTAGAGCAGCAGCGGACACCTGTGTTGAGACAAGGCTGAAATAATTTTTGTATTTACTTACAATTACTTGTATTACAGCATTTCTCTGTGTGCTTTTGAGGTGCTATTTTCTTGTTCCCTCAGTTCTTAAATAAATGAGTAATATGAGTCTTTCTACCTCCTGTGGCCTATTGAGACAGAAAGCACTACTTTTTGCCACATCTTCATCTCTGTTTTTCCTTCTTTATATGTGCGTATCTAACTTTTCCTCACAGAGGCATACATATGCAATCTGTGTAGGAAGTGTAAAAAAAAAAAAAAAAAAAAACAGAAATAAGCCAAGGTATAGTTGCTAGGCTTTCAGCGTGCACACTTGGTGTAAAGAACAGTGGTAGGGTACAGGCTAATGCTGATCATATAAACATCCATCCCCTATTAAATTCTTAAGAATTTCTGTCCTCTCTCCCCAAATGCTGATTCGGTATGGTGGCTAATGGGAAAAAAGGATCAAGCAAATCATTATACTAATTATTAGCAAGTTTTATCAAGTATGTTTTTCATTTATTTCTTGCTGCACTTGTCAGGGTTTAGATAAACTTTTCAGGGTTTTCATATTTACTCGGGAGAAAAAACAAAACTATTTACTCCTTTGGTTGTGCAGGACATACAGATAATGTATCTGATATACAGTGTATGTAAGTAGGTTTGGGGTTTTTTTTGGCTTTACTTGCTTCAGAAAGTTACATGGATTTTGAATTAACCATAGGGAAAATTTTTACAACGTTCTGTACAGGTTCTAACTTGGAAACATTTGGGCAGTGTTGATACAGAGCTTCTATTTGCAAGATCTACACATGCAACCTTTGTTTTCTCTTTTCTTTTTTTCCCCCACAGAGTGGAATTTACTATGATCAAAGAAATTATAGCAGCCTTAGATATAGTAAACCAGTTCCTTCCTACCATACTCGGGTCTGTCTTGTCTTCCTATATTCATTTTTTAATGTACATAAAATACATATATTTGGTTTTGCTTACTTATGCTATAAGAAGCAAACTTCTGTCTCTTTCTTCTATAACACTGCAAATTATTGCAGCTAATAGTTAAAATTATATTTCTTGCTTTTAAGGATTGCCTTTTATAAAATGAGTGGATAACATGCAAGTTACTCTGTGTGCTGCATATGTGGGGTTTTAAATTTAAAATAGCTACTGTTTCATGATTGCTGTACGATATAAAGAAAACAACTAGCAGCTGTGACACTTGTTTTTTCAAAGTCCTGTTTTTAAAAAACAACAACAACAAAAAGTCTTAAGCTTAGTGCCAATGTACTACTTTCTTCTACAGTAATATCAATGGTCTGTCATGAGATGGGTAGTATCTTCCAGTACCTGCAGCTGCTGTCATGGTCAGATTTAAATAAGTAGCTAGAGGAAATTGACTTGTCTTTTGAAAACTACTTAATTTCTTATTGTTCTCTTCTACAAATCTTGTGATAAAAATACTAGATTGCTTTAATTAATGTTTTAGATCATGATTTCAAAGATAATGGGTTTTCTTGGAATGTTTATCCACACTTTTCTGAAAGTTCCTGCCTATTACAGATGTAAAATTTAGCATTTCCATCTTTTAGAACTTTTGGGGAATATAGAGCAATAGATAAAAAAAATTGAATGTACGCAGAAGAAGTATTTCTGACTTTTTCTATTCTTCACGCTACAGTCGTCTTCTCTATACAGTGATCCAGTGGCAACAACTAGGAGTTACAGGGTTAGTACAATGTAAAATAATATCTTGCTTATCTTCAGATGTTTGAGTGGCCCTCAGAAATATAAAATTGCACTTTTCTTCATAGGTGTCTCCTTCTGTAAACACTGGTTTGATAAGAAGTATCAGTTTGGTTCGTAAGCACCATTTGCATGGTTGCCTTAAATTTGTCTTGTATGGCCATGAGGCTTGACAGTATTACATGTGCAATTTTTTTTCATATTTTTAAATAAAGCTGGAGCTTGTGTGTGCCATTTTGTGGAGCCATTCCGTTTAATATTTTTAACATTGTTATATTGCCTCTTTAAACTATTTTAGTAGTTGCTGTTTTACTGATCTTTTTACAGACAAGCATAAAGTTTATGAATACAACAATGATGTTGAAGAACACTGGGGTTAGAACAAGTTAATCCAAGCATACTAAATAACAACTGCATGTATAACACTAAAAAAGTATTTAAAGACATTAAGTGTTTGAATGGGAAAAATCATTGTCAGGAGATTACAGAAAATTGTGGTAAATACACTTTAAATACATTCAAATAAGGTGCCAAAATTTAATATTCATACAAAAATGTAATAGGATGAAAACCTAATCTGCATCTTTACAAAGTAAAAAGTAGCTAGAAGTGCCATAAGAATGGCTAAGGCAGCTCTACAAAAAGTTGTCATCTTTAAAAAAGTGACATGCATGCCTGAAACTTTATGCCTTTTGCTGCTACAGTAGTTCAAGTCCAACTTACACTGCCATTTAGAGACATGCTAAATATATGTAGAAAATCGTCAAGTATTCTTTTGTAATATTTTTATGTAGTTAGTGAGATCTTGTTCTGCACTTGGGTTGCAAACAGAGATAATTTACTTTTTTGGCTTTGTACATATTCTTGAGAAAACATTAGAAGATCCAGTGAGAGAATGAGACCATAATGCCTGCTATTACATATAATTCTAATATACATATAATTCTGATTTCTACTAGAGATCCCTTCATGGGTAGGAGGAAAGCAGCATGAGACTCTTTTTTTTTTTTTTTTTTTTTTTTTTTTTTTTTTTTTATTTTTTTTCCCCGGGC